TAAGAATAAACATTTACAAGAAAAAAAAAAACTCCTTCATTTTTTTTCTCTCTTACCCTCTCTCTCTTCCCTTCTCTCTCTCTAAAGCCACCAAACGAAATTTTCTTTGTCCTGCTAGCGAACCCAAAAGAAAAAAAAATAACAAAACAACCCTTTTTTTATTTTCCCTTTCCCTTGAACGCTACAGACAAGGAGGAGTTTTTGGGATGGTGTGTTCAGCATGCCTTTTGGAGTGGTTTTAAAGAGAGAGAGAGAGAGATGGGAAGAGAGAAAAAAAATAAAGGAGTTTTTTTCTTGTAAACGTTTATTCCTTAATTTACTAAAATCATCTACAGCTCCGTAGACGTAAAAAATTTGTCGAACCACGTAAATCTTGTATCGTCTTCTCTGATGTAATTTTCTCGACCTACTTTCGCTTTATTACCGTTATTTTTTTTCACTACAGTTACTGTAACAATTCTGTGAGTTTGAATTCTGCAGAATTGGATGGAAAGATTCGCTGTGAGATGGGATGTGTTCATATATCTGCAAAGGAACAAATTGGTTTGGTTTTGCCACCAAGGAATTATAAAATTCCACTGAAGTGGCCAACTGGGAGAGACTTCATTTGGAAGTATAATGTGAAGATTACAGGGCGTGAGCTATCTTCTGGAAGCTTGACCAAGAGGAATAATTGGCTATTATTTGGTTTGTTTGGACCTGGATGATAAATTTATGTTTCAGAAGTGTGGGTTATGAGCTTTACGGTGTAGGATGATGGTGGAGGAAGAACAGCTCTCTTTCGCTCTGATTCTCTTATGTTTGATGGCGTGGAAGGCTACTCACATCAATAACTGAAATGATCGAGCTGAGGAATGAGTCAAATTTCAAAGAGGCCGTGGTAGCATTCTCTTTTCCAGAATTTACTTTTGGGGCATTTGCATATATACCCCCAATTTCTAATGTATTTTCATATCCAACAGATAAATTTTGCTATTTACATTTATACGACCCAACTTTTTTATATCACATCAAAATACCACTATTTTGACTTCAAAAACTGAAATGCACATTTTTATGCATAGATAAGAGGACATATATGTAAAAATTGAGGTTTAAGTGTCATGCAAATCTTCCTTTTTTTGGGTTAATTTAATTGAGACGCAAGTGTAGTTTTGATACCAAATATGTTGATGCTCAATGTTAGTTATGCTAGGTAGAAATTCTTACTTTTTGGTCAAGATGGGTGTCAAAGCTGCTGAATTTGCTTTTGCAATATGAAATTTAATTGATTCTCTATGTATTGCATTCATCTTAAAGGAAATCCAACGTTTTTTAGATGTATTTTTACTAATTTTTATCTTGAACTGTCTTTTCTTCAGAAAGTCATCATTCCCACAACTTCTTCAAATAATTTGTGCTATTTTGTTGGGTATTATATATCTTTAAGGTTCTTAGCCCATAATAATGGAGTATAATAGATTTTTCGCATCATGATTTTTGAAAATCTAAAGCCATCAACACAATAATATATTATTATTTATTTGTTACACTTTAAATTAGCCAAAACAAAGTAAAAATTTATATCTTCTCTCTATTTCATGAGATATAAATTGCGGGAATAAATTCAAGAGATAGCACAAAGCAATAAAACACAAAAAAACATTAGATTTGACATGAAATAGGCTTTGACAACGGAGGGAGGCGAGTGCAACTGTGTTTCAGCCCTAAAGACACAAGTGACAAATGAGAAGAGGGGCGAGGGGTACTTGCGACTAGTATTACGTGAATTGAAGAGGGGCCGCGACATTAAAAACCAATCGCAACTGGGCTCCCGCTGCGGAACGCAGTCCCCCACCCCCCC